AGAATCGTTTCAGAAGAGGGGGACTTCTTCTCTGAAGCCCTATTACCTAAAGTGATCCAGCTCATTATGATTGGATAACACAGGAAAGAGATGCTCTATATCAGTCCCATTCAATTTCAAAAGTGTTTTGTTAAAATGCTTTGGGGATAGGAATGGAAGATGAACTATAAAAACACTTTTTTAAAAGGAGGAAACCAATTATAGTGACTATCCCATAAAAATGTCTAGTATAAAAGCAGACCTTTTTTTTTTTTTAAAAAAACTAACTTCACATGCATCATGATCTGAATACACATTGACTTAAATTCTGAAAAGATTGCTATTGAGCATGCTAGCTATAGCATGACACTGAAGGTACAAAAATGCATGATCTCTGAATGCAAACCCATACTAATATTTGATATTCATATTACTATTATTTTAAATAATAGTATTTGTATTTATTTATAAACTTGATAGATCATCATATAAAAAGTTTTCTGGTCAGCTTAGAGAGATTAAAAATGACTGTGTTTTCAGAGTCCATGGAACAGGCTTGCTCATTTTCTGAACCTCCCACCTATATTGAAACTCAGATCTAGTATTTCCCAACACAGTGCACTTAACCCATGTGCAAATGCAAATGTGTGGAAATAAGTTCCATTTCTATGTAACAAGTCCAATATTTCTGTCAGTTAGGAAATTACGTAAATCAAAATAATATTTGAAGCAAGGCAACACTCTCTCTCTCGATAAAATCTTTATGTAACATTTTTATCTAGTAATCAACCCATTTACTCAAAAGGATGTGAAAAACAATCTGAATAACAGCTCTAGTTATAGATATTAACAGATATGTCCTCAACTGAAAGAGTCTTATGAATCAGCAACAGCAAAGCAAATGTTGTTGAAGTGGGATACAAGAACTCTATGCCCAAACTAGCCGAAGTATTTCACCTTGCTGTGTTGTCATTCTGCTTTTTAAGCCAAAGTTTCTACCTTAGCACAGGCGTTCTCAAATTGCAGTTCACGATGCCTTTGGGGGTTGTGAGCCAATCTCTCTTGCTCTGCCTGGATTCCACCAAACGGCTGGTGCGAGACTGGGCTGTGTGTGTGATGCAGGCACCGGGGCTCTCCTTCAACAGCCTTTGTGCTCTCAGCAATGGCTCATAAGTGCCACCCATGAAGACCTGGCCAGGATGGAGGTATTCCTGTCTAGTACCACCTTCCCTTTCTTCCAGGGGTGGCTGCATGCTGTGTCCTGGCACTGAGCCTGCATGTCCACTCCAGGCCACCCCAGCACTGCAACTCCTGTACTTCATGTAGGAACATGACATTCCCCAGGGCTGTTGCAAGAGCCATTGCTGAGAGCACAAAGTTGTCAAAGGAGTCCTGAACGCCTAGCTTGCACATATGCAGATGGATGCCTGCCAGCTGGCTTGTCCAGCTTGTGCAGTCTGGCAATTTTATTCATGGGAAGGAGAGGGTTGGTAGTGTCAAATAAATGCATTTATTATTTTAGGGATCATGGCTCAAGGAAGTTTGAGGGCAGCATTTTCTCTTGCACAAGAGTTTGTATGAACCCAGCCAATGATACTTTCTTCAATAAATCACAGTTAAGCAAAGCTCGATTCAATGGGTGTGTCCCAACCCTTTGAACACAAAAGGATACCCACCCGCTGACTGGTATTATTTTTAATAGAATATTAAAATATTAATCAGCTTCTTCCTAAAGATTCCATGATCTGCAGGTTTCATCATGAATTCAAAGTAACTTAACAGATAATTAACTTAGAGCATTCCCCTCATTGTATGCATGTCATGAGCAGGGATGCCGAGATTTCCCCCATTTGAGATCAGGGGAAAGGAGCCAGGGCTTCTTAGCTGTGGCCCTCACCCCCTGGAACAGTCTTTCCCTGCAGATCTGTCGAGTGCCCTCTCTCAGGAAGGTCACACTGGTTGGAGCAGATGGGAGCTGAGTGTCCAAAAACATATGGACGGCTATATCAATCATATGGACAGCCATAACAAATAATAATCAAGTTATTATTCAGATAAGACTTCCTACATTTTGTTAACTGAAAAAGTAAGTCATATGTTTCTCATAATTAAAAATGTAGTAATATGCATGTACATAAAGCCACAACTGTCTCCAAGAGAAATTTTTACAAACGTTTGTATTCTCTTTTCTCGTATGCTCCAAGTATTTTCTAGGAACCAAGGAGTACAGAATAGTGGAATTGCCAGCTAATCATTATTCTTAGCAATGGTTTGAACCATGGTACAATTTAGATGTTCTTATTTTCCACATAAGGGCATTTCAAAAGTCTGTGACTTGAACATGTGCTTATGGATCCAAAGCAACTTTACTTTATGGTTTTTGTGTTCGCCTTAGGCTGCACGCACATTGCACTCACAGCAATGACATTATTTCATTTGCTTTTGCAACTTTTTTCAAAACAGCTATAACACAATGGAATTATGTAGACAGCCAGATATCACAAAAATTCAGTCTGACTCATCCTATAATTCTTGAGAGAATGAGAGTTCTTTAGAGATAATCCACTTCCAGGGAAGAAATGGCGAACTAGACTCCTCCGCTAAAAGCAGAGCCAATGACTGCAGCAGAATGAAGAATATTACTTTTGGATATTGCTTTTTAACATTTTTCAGTTATTGGGAACCTTTGGATTGGCAGGTTTTACAGCACTAGGTAATTTTCCTTCAATCGTTAGTGAAAGAAGTTTTAAATACAAGTTTAAGGACTTAATTTTTTTTCTTTTGGAATAAACAGCAAATGGGTGATTAGAATTTTGATTTTGGAAAGTTACAAATGGACTAAGGGTCCAGATG